GATCTTGGGCATGCACGCACACGCGCCTGGCATGAGTTTAAGCCAACAGGTCCGGGACTTGAACTGCGGTTGACTACATGGAAGTCCAGTGACATAGCCATTACGCCAACTGCTGGTCCCTGTGCAGTGTGATTTTCAAGCCATCAGGTCCAGGACTTGAACCACAGTTTGCTGTGTGGGTTTCCAGCTCCTTAACCACTACACGACCTGCCGCCCCCCATTTCTGTGTTCTTTCACTGAAACAGAAATGTCCTGTTTGAGTCTGTACATGCTATCACACCCCCACATTCCCCAGGATCATTCATGTTGTGGCAGAATCAGTGTGACCCATCCTTAACTTTCCAGGCTAGTGGTCCCCAAGTCTAGCTTCTCTTCAGAATTACCTACTAAGCTACTGCATCAGAATCTCTGGGAGTTCATTGTATAACCTTTCCTTTTTTTTTTTTTTTAAACTTGGTATCATTATGTTGTATATACAACAAGATTTAGGAACTACTCTAGGCCTCTAGTTCCCAATCTGACCAAAAAGAACAGCTCTCGTCCGTATAACTGACTGCACCTTGAGAACGTCTTCATGGCCCAGAATATTGTTCCATTTAGTAAGTGCTCACTGCAGGTGTGTTGTGACCAGGGCATTATGACATGCTATGGGAATTTATAAAGATACATGTCAGTGTAGATTTTATTGCCCCAACATGTGTGTAGCTGGTAAACAAGAGTCTGCATTGGGTTGTCTTGAAGTTTTCAAGAACTGCAGTGCGGGTCTTACAGCAATGACACACTGTCATTTACACTCATGCTTTACAAATTCTTATTCCCATGTGGTTTTGGGACCCACACTGGGTCTTTGAGTTTCCAGGGCTTTTTCTCTTTGGACTTCACCATCTTCCACAAGTTACACTGGCGTGGAACTTTTTCTTAACAATGCTGTCATAATTGTGTTAGTGGGCAAGCTAATACCATGGGAAATCACATTTAGCGGGCTTCGGTTCTTCTCTGTTTTATAGTGAACGGAAGAGCAGCATTTAAACGTCTTTAAAGGTGTTGTGTACTTGGAGGGAGAGTTTCCTGGAGGTGTACTGGCTTTGTGTATGGATAACGAAGCAGCGTTTTTATTTCTAGATTGCTGTATTCGTGGTGGTGGAAGTCCTTGGCCAGCTGTGTGCTATCATGTCACTAGGTGGAGATGTAACATTGTTTGGTGGCGTAGCCACAGCAAAAGGCATGAGTGCTCATTTCTTTTTACAAAATTCCTTTCCAGATACTTGATGAGGTTTATGTTCTAGGAAGAAAAAAAAAAAAAAACCCTGCAAATTCAGTATAAGTCTACATTTTAACCCTCTTTCTTCAAGGTTGAAATTCAATCCAATTTTAATATCTACTTTCACACTGATGGACTTTAATTATATTTCTGCTGTTATTGATGTTTCCTGTTTTCTATTCCTCATTATTTTGTCTTTTGAGTTATTCAGTGTCTTTATCTGTGGTTCTTTATAGTGATTTTATTCTGAAAGTTTAATAAAATAATCAGAGTTTTTACTCCGAGGTCAATGAACCAAAACTTATTGTCTAAACATATCTTAACCTTATCTTTGTATCATTTTAGGTTAATAATGTCAAATTTGAACCTATTTATGTTCTACAGAGCTTATTATTTTCCTCCCTTTCTTATTTTCTTCCTCCCTCTTTTTCTAACCTCCTAATCTTAGACAAGTTGTCTATCTATGCATGCTGATGAGGGAACTATGAAAAAATCATGAGCTTTACTCTGAAGAACTGATAACCAGTTGAGAACATTGCAGATGCACCTACAAAACATTTTAATGTAATTTAAATATATGATCTTTAGAAATTTTCAAGGTGAAAATTACAGAAACAAAAGAAAACAAATTCTCTTTGGCAAGCAGTTCAGCAGTTCCTCAGATGTTAAACTTAGAGTTACTGTATGATCCAGGGGCCGGCAGGTAGCACGGTGGTTAAGGGTGTTGGACTTCCACATGGCCAACTGCAGTTTGAGTCCTGGACCTGGCAGCTTGCTTTCTCACTTCCCCGCTCTCTCTCTCAAATTAAAATGAATACATAAATAAAGTTAAATAAATTTTTTTAAAAAAACTTGGCCAAAAAAAAAAAAAAAAGAGTTACTCCATGATCCAACAGTTTTCCACTCAAACTTGGCCAAAAAAAAAAAAAAAAGAGTTACTCCATGATCGAACAGTTTTCCACTCCTAGGTATATACCCAAGAAAAATTAAATGTATGTTCACACAAAGGCTTGGACATGAATGTGAATAGCAGCATTAAAAAAAAAACAACAACAAACCTCCTTTAAGATTATTTCTTTTTTCCATGAGCAAGAGGAGAGAGAGAGGAGAAAGAGAGAAAAAAAAAAAAAAAGAGTTACTCCATGATCGAACAGTTTTCCACTCCTAGGTATATACCCAAGAAAAATTAAATGTATGTTCACACAAAGGCTTGGACATGAATGTGAATAGCAGCATTAAAAAAAAAACAACAACAAACCTCCTTTAAGATTATTTCTTTTTTCCATGAGCAAGAGGAGAGAGAGAGGAGAAAGAGAGAGCACCTCAGCAGCCCTCAGACCTCAGCCAGTGGAGTTTATGTATGCCCAGCACACTCAAGGAGGTCTCCAGATTTGAGCATGTAATCTTTCCACGTGGGACTCCCTCCAGAGTACTGTGTTTTACCACTATACCACTGTTTGGCCCCAATAGCAGCATTAGTCAAACTAGCAAAAAGGAGAGACAACCTAAATGTCTATCAGCTGATGAGTAGGTAAAGAAAATATGGTATCAAGACCAATAGATGGTTACATCGCTGAACTCCCATGTAGTCAACCACAGTTCGAGTCCTGGACCTGGCAGTTTAAAACTCACACTGGGCATGTGTGCATGCATACTCCCCCCAAAAAATCCTGAGAAGAGATGGAAGAGAAAGGATTACGGTGTGACTATCCCCCCCAGGGGATGATTTCTCGCTTTCTGTCTCTCTGTCTCGCAGGTGACCACACACAACCTATAGCAAAAAATCTCTCTTAAAAAAAGGAAAATGTGGTATGTTTTTACAATGGAATATTATTCAGCAACAAAAAGGAATGAAGTACTGATACACGCTGCAATGTACATGTCTGTTTAAACATGCTAAGTGAAAGAAACCAGACACAAAAGGCTACATATTACATAATTTTGTTTATGTGAAATGTCCAGAATAGCAAATCTATAGAGACAAAGTAGGTCCATGGTTGCCTAGGGCTGGGTGGAGGGGACCAACTGCTAGTGAGTACAGGATTTTTTCTTTGGAGTGTTGAAAATGCTGTAAATTTGATTGTGGTGATAGACACACATCTCTGCAAATAAAATAAAGATCACTGAATTGTAGGTGCAGTTTAAATAAGTGAATTGGATGATATGAGAATCATAGCTCAATTAAGTTTTTTTAAAGAATTATTTTATTTATTTGTTTGCTTTAATTTGACCAGAGAGGAACAGAATGAGAGAGAGAGAGAGAGAAAGAAAGAGAGATTGAGAGAGAGAAAGGGGAAGGGAAAGGGAAAAAGCAAGCTGCCAGGTCGGCTGTGTGGGAGTCCAGGGCCCTCAGCCACCATGCCACCTGCCAGCCCCCATATCTCAATTAAGTTTTTTAAGTAAAATAGTTTATCAAAACGTTTAAAATTCATCAAGCCAAGGAATATTTATTGACCACCTGCACAGATGCTACATTAGATTCTATGTGAGTTATAAAATGTAAACATACACCCTGACCTCCAATTCTTTATAGGTCAGGAGAAAAGGCACACATGCAATAATTCATAATATACTTTTGCTTTCTGAATTTGTTTTCCCTCTTTTGAACCTCCTGAACTCCCTCTTTGACTTATTTCTGTAATGGCCCTGATTTTCTTACCCTATGTCATTTTTTGTCCCTTTCAAAATCAAGCTTTTGATAAATATCAACCACAACCTGTCACTTTTCACTAACTTAATTATTTTAAAGCAATAGTGGTAACTCCAATAACTTAAATTGTCTGACTCGTAAAAACCCATTTGTTCAGCAAATACTTATTTATGTTTCATTTACAAATAACTCTGGCAGATCATAAGACTGTTGCCATTATTACTTTTATTTAATTTGCTCTAAGGTGAATGCACTCACCAGAGAGACACAGAGAGACTGAAAGCAAAATTTCGCTGTCCCCCCCAACCCTGGAGTCGTGGGGATGACCATGCTGCAATTCCTTCTCCATTCTCCTCTCTGGATTTTGGGCATGCACCTCCTGGTCCAGGACTCAAACCATGTAGTCAACCACATGCGATTCAGCTGCCTTAACCACCATGCCCCCTGGCTAGGCCCAGTATTACTGTTTTTCAAATTATAGCAAATATCCTTTTGTTACAATTTAGCCAGGTTGCATGTTGCTCAGAAGTATAGTCCTGAGTTCATAGATTTTCATGAAAAATACTTTTTTTAGGAATATTTAAAAATTAAACAAATGTAGGCTTGATATAGAGCTATCCAAATTATTATTAGTCCAATATCATGATACTGTGTTCGTTCAGACTTTTAAAAAGAAACATTTTGTTTTAAAGCCAAAGAAGGCTTTTTTAAAAAGTGGTAATTGAGAGACCACAGATGGCATAATGGTTACATTGCTGGACTCCCACATAATCTACTGCAGTTCAAGTCCCAGACCTGGCAGCTTAAAACTCACACTGGGCACATGTGCACGTATGCCCAAAATCCCAAGAGGAGAATGGAAGAGAAGGGACTAGCACGGCCATCCTCCCGGGCGGTGATTTCTCATTTTCTGTCTCTCCAGCAAGCACATGTGACCTAGAGTAAAAGTCTCTCTCTCAAAAAAAGTGGTAGATTTATTCTAAATCTGTCAATTTAATTCTAAATCTGTCAGTTTAGACCGTGTGCGCGCGCGCGTGCGTTATGCTTATGTTATTGGTGGAGCAGTTAAACTTCTTTGTTTCCTTCCAGATGCATATGAGACAGCCAAGATGCTCTGTGAACAGTATTACCTGGTAGCCCCAGAACTGGAAGTTGAAGAATTCAATGGTAAAAGAAAAAGAATTTTAATCTTTAATACAAAGGAACTGCTTAAAAAACTAATTATACTTGACCTGTATTTCAATGAGATCCTAAAACTTGGCTGCTTTTTCATCTGTTTCTTTTTGAAACTTTTTCTATACCTTTGGACATGCAGACGTACTTGTCATAAGGAGTTTTTGTACAGGAGTGTGTAATATAGTAGACGCCCAAAGTGTTTGGAACAGAAGTAAGCAAGTTCGAAACGTACAAAGGCAGAAATGGGAAAGTCCTCAAAATAGCCTATGCAAGCAGTCGATGAACATGAGGAAAAGTGTTTAACTTTACGAATCAAAGAAGGGCAAACAAAAACACGGAGAAATGCTATTTTTATCTTTAAAAATAGCAATGATTAAAACATGTTAATGCTTTGAATTTGTGCCCAGAAAAATACTTGGTTACTAAAACATGCATTTCTTATATAAGTTTATGTTTAACTTTACGAATCAAAGAAGGGCAAACAAAAACACGGAGAAATGCTATTTTTATCTTTAAAAATAGCAATGATTAAAACATGTTAATGCCATGAATTTGTGCCCAGAAAAATACTTGGTTACTAAAACATGCATTTCTTATATAAGTTTAAATTGATATAGCCTTTCTCAAAAATGCTGACAATGCTTTTCCTCTGTGGCCTAGTAAATTAAATGAATAGTGGTCATATCCTGTGGTACAGTAAATTAAACTTCAGAAAATATATTATAATAAAATACAGATGTACATAGATTTATGATAAGAATGATGATCAAAATATTCTTTTAGAGGAAAGATCAAAAAACAACCAGAGGGTTATTTAAATAAATTGTGGTATACCCGTAAGAGAGAGAATATTTTGCAGCCATTCAAATAATGCTTTACAAGAATAATGTCTTGGGGTCAGCAGGTGGCATAGTGGCTAAGGTGCTGGACCCCTCTATGGGTGACTGTGATTTCTGTGAAGGACCCAGTGGCTTGAAAAGTATGCTGGGTATGTCTGTGTGTGTACCCAAAATCCCAGTAGGAGAATAGAGGAGAAGGGATTGCAGTGTGGCCATCCCCCCATGGGGTGAGTTCTCACTTTCCCTCTCTCTGTCTTTCTCCAGCAAGCACACACATCCTATTGCAAAAAACCTAAAAATAAATAAATAAGTAAATAACCTTTAAAAAACAAAACAGAATAAGGTATGGGGGAAATTGAGAAGTTTTAAAGTTTTTTTTTTTTTTAACACAGGCTGTGAAAGTTTGTAATAGTGCACTTTCATTGAAAAATAGTTTGAAAGATTGATACTACCAAGATGCAAACAACAGCTCTCTGGAAAAGTGGGGTTATGGTTCATTTTTACCTCAGTCACATGGTCCTGTATTTATTCTATTCTTTTACTTGTAAATGATGAAAGAGCCATGCTTATCTTAAAAATACAAATACAGAAATATGAGTAAAAAGCGAAAGCCCCCACTAGTCTCTCAGTCCCATATAGACCTTTATTTTTTACATCAATAAGGTTAAAACTATACATGTTCTATAAGTTCCCCTTGAAGATCTTTGAATGTATTATGTTACATGATTATCCATAGCGTAGGTAATCTTAATTTTATTTAACCATTTCCCAATGAGTATACATTTAGGATTTCCAAATTTGCTATATTCCATATAATGAGCAATGAAGGGTGTGTATGTGTGTGTGTGTGTAGGGTGAACATATGGAAACATTTCTGCAGACTAGATTTCTAGTTGTAGAATGACTGAATTCTAGGTGTGGGCATTTATAATCAAAGATAAACCAAACTCCTTCTCAAAAATATACCAAAAATGGGGCCAGCAGGTGGTTGCTGGACTCCCACATGGCCAAGCATGGTTTGAATCCCAGACCCAGCAGCTTGAAACTCACACCGGGCACATGTCCATGCATGCCTAAAATCCTGAGAGGAAAATGGAGGAGAGGGAACTGCAGTGTGGCCATCTCCCCTGGGGGTGATTTCTCACTTTTCCTCTCTCTCTCTCTGTCTTTCTGGTGAGCACATTTGCCCTATAGCAAAAATCTTTCTCTCACTG